AAAAGTATTTTGGAAAGAACATATCATATATTCGAAACGGAAAGCATATTGGATCATGATGATTAATTAAATTATTAAGATGTAGAAGATCTGTTACCATTAGCATCCCTACATCACCATTTTGGTGAGTGTTAGTGGGTTAGGTGCGCATGCCTTTTGGATGTGAGAGGGTGAACCATTCTTTTCTCTAAACTCACACACCTACGTCCGCATTCTAGCTTTTCAAACTACGAGAAACACGTCTGGCTCAAAAGTTCTTTTAGAAAATCAATCCGTGTCCATTTGAGAATGTTAAAGACGTTTGGTTCATATTGCAAACAAATATGTATCTTGATAACAATTATATTGATGGGTCGATGATTCATTATTCTTAATGAAACCAGGACTGTGATTTGCTCATTTGTGTTCGAATTATCATCATTATGAGAGTGATCAGTAGTTTTCTTAATATTTTATTTCATTTTCATTCTCTGTATTATTTTTATTTGCTGATTAAGTAAAAAGGTAAACAAAACGTTTTCTGTTTTACTACAACAAGGAACGATACGTAAGCTGAGCTATAACACGTCACCTCATAAAAATGTTCCTTTACTAAGATATGGAGAATGGAGCAAATTCTTTCTGAATTTCTCTCTACTCTATGAGTTCCACTAATGAGAAAACTACAAGCTCAAAGAGAGGGTACCTGGAAATGTGATATTCGCATTACTACGATTACCACTAACTGATGATTTGTACTTGTCGGTAAGGAGAAAATGAGTCAGTTTGACTGCTACTTCAAAAAAAGCCTATTTTTATGAACATAGCAATATTTTTATAAACTTTGATCAACGGTATTCGAAATCGAGGAATCCAAAGGAGGGGCACATAAGAAGACGAATCGGCCTATCTCGACATTTTCGAAACGAGTATATACCTCAATATATAATGTAGACGACGATTCGTTTGATGTCACATTCAAATTATTTGAGAAGCCATTTGATGGCTTCTGACCAAGATTAATATACCATATTTTTATTGTACCAAAATAATTGTATCAAACAATACGTTTGTCAAAACATATCTTCGACGGTCTATAAATAATCATTTTTGAAAGAGCAGCAAAGTTTGCACAGATCTTTATATGATCCATCGAGAAATAGTAAACATAAGCTGAATTTATGGTGAACAAACGGTGTTTCTATCGATATTTTATGTATGCCATGGAGTTTCACGCTTCTCAATCGCTTTCCTTTTTAGGGTTCAATGCATTTTTTGATGAACTAAACGTTGTTGTAGTTTTCTTTTAGTTATTTTATTCACTATAATTCTTCAAGGGCTGATATTGCCTAAAACTACGACCATATGTGCTCCCATTTCAGAAGAACATATAATAGTTATTTATATTATCAAAATGCAAAACAAAAACCAATTCTGTGATTCTTTGGAACTGAGCCAAAGTGATTTGTGGACGTTTGTCATCTGTATATTTATGATATTTACAAGAAAATTGTACTGGCATGTAGCCCGTCAAAACTGCATCATATTTGTAAGAGGAAGGCCCATCGTAAAGCTATGTTGAAACTCATTGAGAAGCGTGAATCTCTATGAAATACTTAAAACATCGATAGAAACAGTATTAACTCACCGTAAAATCAGTTTCTGTTTACTATTTCTAGTATGGTTCATCTGCGGATCTATATAGAATTTGCTACTATTTCAAATAAGACTATTTATGCGTAGACGAGCAAATACTTCGACAAATTCTGCATCAGAAGCCATCAAATCACTTCCCAAATAGCATGAATGTAGCATCAAACAATTTGTGGTTTAATTATGGATCGAGATATATACTCGTCTTAAAAATTCCTATGTGGGTTGATCCGTCTTCTGATGCGCTTCCATCCTTTATTAATAGATTTTCGAAATGTGTGCTTTTGATTTTTTTATTCAGGAAAGGCTTTTTTTTAAACACAACGACTCCACAGCCTTACAGAAACCATGAATAGAGTTGAATTCCTCGATTCCTAAACCATTTGATCAAACTTCAAACTCATGATTATTTTCGTAAAATAGGTTTTCTTCAAGCAAATAATTAAGCTAACACATTTTTGGTTATCTAATAAGATAGTTTGTGGGTAACGACAACTTTTCTCCTGAGTTCTCTAATAAAATAAAAACTACTTATTACTTATCGGCAAGTACTACTTAGCACTTACTAATGCGTGGTAATTGATGATCCTAATATATGTTTGGTCAGTGGTAGATGATGAAAATTATTATGAAACAATAAATAATCAATTGTTAAGCTAAACATTGATTACTGCTAAATAGGATATTTTTCAATGATGAAGACACTGGTACTTTGGTAGTTGTAAGTGTAAGTAACAATGAACGTGCCACTCCTAAGGATATAAGGTGATAAAGCTACTTTGTTAATGGTTTGTTTTCTGAGTTATACATATTATATTCGTATTCTCTGATAGTCCACTGGACACTAAAAACTCAAATGATGATATTTCGACTGGATCTTTTCCTCGTATATATCTCACAGTTATTACAATATCATGAAGTTTTAAGCGAAAACGTGCGCATTTGTCTGAAGATCATGAATTAACAATGGGATTTGGTTATTTATACTCTACTTTAGTAAGCAAATAATTCTTTGAAGTTGATCATCTCGACAGGAAGCCATACTTTTATCATTGAAGCTTTCAAAATATATTCATAATTTCATAGATGCAATAAACAAGGTCTAGTAACGAATGAGTCCAAGGACGACAAATGAGAATGGAAGAGCGATCGCGTTGTTTTGAAAATTAGAAACAAGCATATACCTATAGAAAACATGGTCTAACAATGCTATATGATCAGAAAAAAAAGAAAGTTACAAGTTCTCAGAGGGTTCAACAAATCCTATTTTACTTGTATGACTGTTATAAATTTTCAGTATGAAAACTCGCTAAATCCAACCGAATCTTTATATCAGTCATAACTAGTTTTATTTGCTGTATTTGATACTGGTACTTACAGTGTCAAATTTAAACAGAGAACTATTAAGATTTAACAGGATTCGATAAAAACATGACAGCTTTCACTGAATTCTACCAAATCGCAGAAGTTCTCTTTCCAGATTTAGCACATAAAGTATCTGTGTCAATTATTGTATCCTTGCAGTTAATGACAGAAGGTGTCAGAACTGAATCATCACTCAATGCATCAAGCGACAACTATTAATAAACTATCAGTGGTATATCCATTGTGTAATCTCGAATGTTGATGAAAAAAATTTTTATGTTCTGATTGTTGTTATTAATTAACTATGTGCGACTTTCATGACGCAATGACAGAAGTATCACAACATAGAGGTACTGACATTCATTTGATCTGGAAACGGTTCGACATTTTCACCAGTACATTACAATTGTAGATAAATATATATTTTCGAAGAGCCAGTAAGATAGAAACGAATGCGGTCTTATACCAGCAGATATTCAAATTTCAGAAAAAAACTAAATTTTCCTCATAAATTAGTCAATTTCAGAAGTTACTCCCACAGATATACCACATCAGTTGCAAAGTCCAGAAATTACCGTCATTACCATAACACCAATAGAAATAAACTGTTCCGAGATACATCCCTTTGCAGAAATTTCAGTAACTTCTGAAATTTCCTTCAACATATCGTATGAATATACATACATATTCATACGATGACAAGAAAACTTTACTCAAAAAATAAGTGAAAGTTTTAAAAATTACTGGCAAATTTTGGAAATTACCAGAAAATTTCAGTGATTTCCAAAGTTTCCATTGATTCATGGAGTAGGATTGTCTTTCCATGATATCAGTATATAGATATTCATAAAACGCTTTTTAAGGAAATTTTGGAAATTGCCGAACTTTCCTGACAACGTTCTATGCGTTGCTGGTTATTTTTTTTGATGGATTACTTTGGTATGATGAAAATCTGAATATAAATATTTTGAGCTTGTATTTAGAAGCAGTCAACGGTTCTTTTTTTCATCATATTTACTATTGTGTTTATTCGTCCTAATTCACTACGCATTTCGTGAACGAGTTTCTGAAGAAAATGAAAGAGATCGCACAGTGTGTAACGTGAGGGATAAATTTCGCGCCTTCAACGAGATTTTATTGAAAAGTATTGATTCTCATCCAGAGTTGGTTGTAATAATCCCACCATTTCCGATAGATGAACACCAGCATTATAGAAATCTGATACAATCCATTAAGGAAAGTTGAACCATAGTAGTTGATCAGTCTTTATTTCTTGGTTCTTGTGTTACTTAGCCCCCAGATGTGAACTTAATTTTAAAGCAACGAACCAAAATCTTATTGACTATAATTACAGTCCACAATCTGTCGCCATGGGCGACTTCAACAACGATAGTTGGTTAGATATTGCTATTACTAATTATGCCGCTGACAATATAGCTATATATTTTGGATATGACAATGGTACTGTAGCAAGCTCATTCAAGTATTCCACCGGCTCTGGCTCGGCTCCATGCATGATTGCTGTTGGTGATTTCGACAACGATCATCGACAGGATGCCGCCATCGCGAATTTCGGTACAAACAGCGTCGCTATATTTCTTAGATTCGAAAATGGGTCTTTTGCGAACCAGACGGTGCTTTCAGTTGCGTCATCACATCCTATTTGGATCCATGTAGCAGATCTCAACAATGACACAGCACTAGATATTGCCACTGCTAACTACGGTACACACAGTGTTAGCATATTTTATGGATATGGAAATGGAAGCTTTTCAAGACCAAGCACGTACTCTACAGGCTATGACTCTTTCCCATTTGCGGTTGTCAGTGGTGATTTCAACAATGACAAACAGATGGATCTTGCTATCGCTAATTATGGTACAAACAATGTCGGTATACTCCTTGGCACTAGTAACGGCACTTTCACAAAGCAGAGCACGTTCTCAACTGGTTTTAATTCCCATCCATACTCGCTTGCCGCTGGTCATCTAAACGAGGACGCCATGTTAGATATTGTCGTTGCTAACCATGGAAATAAAAGTATAGGTGTACTTCTAGGTCAAGGCAATGGAACTTTTATAGGTCAAACGACATATTATTTTGGTAGTGCTTCTCCATATTCTATTGGCATCGGTGATTTCAACAATGACGATCAAATGGATTTAGTTGTAACGAATAATGGCACTGACAATATAGCTCTACTTGTTGGTTATGGCAATGGTACCTTTGCAAGTCCAAATATGTATTCAACTGGATCTTCTTCGTCTATCTCTCATGCTATAGGTGATTTAAACAAAGACAATCGTTTAGACATTGTCGTCATCAACAATGATACGAGCACCATATGTGTCCTGCTTGGTTATGACGAGTTCTTTCCACTTCAAACGACATATTCAACTGGCACTTATCCACAGTCTTTAGCTGCCGCTGATTTTAATAACGACTATCGACTTGATATTGTCGTCACTAATTTGTTTGGCAAAACCATCAGTATATTTCTGGGATATGGTAACGGTTCTTTTTCAAATCAAACAACTTATCCAACTGGTTTGTTTCCCCAATCTGTAGCTGTTCGTGATTTTAACAAAGACACTCGACTAGATATCGTCGTTGCTAACAGTGTTGATAATACTGTAAGTGTGCTTCTTGGATATGGTAATGGTTCTTTTGCAAATCAAACGACTTATTCAACTGGCGATGGGCCAAGTTCTGTAGCAGTTGAGGATCTCAATAACGACAGTCAATTGGATTTCATCGTAGCTAATCAATATAGCAACACTATAAGTGTACTTCTTGGATATGACAATGGGTCTTTTGCAAATCAAACGACATATTCAACTGGCGATGGGCCAAATTTTGTAGCTGTTGGTGACTTCAACAATGACACTCAACTGGATATTGTTGTCACTAATTCGTTCGACAACACCATCAGTGTATTTCTCGGATATGGCAATGGTTCTTTTGAAAATCAAATGACTTATTCAACTGGCTTGTTTCCACAATCTGTAGCTATTGGTGATTTTAACAACGATAGCCGGCTGGATTTCACCGTCGCTAATCAATATAGCAACACTGTAAGTGTATTTCTCGGATATGGCAATGGCTCGTTTACAAATCAAACGACATATTCAACTGGCAATGGACCAAGCTCTGTGGTTGTTGATAATTTTAATGACGATACCCAAGTGGATATTGTTGTTACTAATACTGGTAGTAACAATGTAAGTGTACTTCTCGGATATGGTAATGGCTCGTTCGCAAAACAAACGACATACTCAACTGGCTCTTTTCCAGTTTCGGTAGCTGTTGGTGATTTGAATAATGACACCAGATTGGACATTGCCGTCGCTAATTATCAGAGCAACACTGTCAGTGTACTACTTCGGTTTGATAGAGGAGCTCTGAAAAACGAAATGACATTTGCACCTAGTGATGCTTCTGTTATGCGAAGTGTCGCCATTTTTGATTCCAATAACGATGGTCTACTCGATATTGTCGTTGCCAATTACGGTACTAATAACATAGGTGTAATTCTTGGATATGTGAATGGCACCTTTGGACATCAAACACTGTTCTCGGCGAGCTCAGATTCTCATCCCTACTCAATTGCCACCCATGATTTCAATAAAGATAGTCAAATTGATATCGCAGTGGCTAATCATGGTAGTAAACGTGTTGGTATCTTTCTGGGAAACATTAATGGGTCTTTCCACAGTGAAGAAAATTATGGGAGTGGTTTGGATTTCAATCCATCGGTTATTGTCGCCGGTGATTTCAATAAAGACGGGCGTTCGGAAATAGTTATCGCATATGATGACACTGACAATGTAGATGTGTTCGCTGTGTATGACACTGGATCTTTCACTCATCCAACGACATACTCCACTGGCTTCGGTCCAAACTCTGTCGTTGTTGTTGATCTTAATGATGACAACCGACTGGATATCGTCGTCGTTAATGGTGGCAGCAGCAATGTAGGTGTGCTTCTTGGATATGGTAATGCTTCTTTTGCCAAACAAGTGACATATTCAACTGGCTTTTTACCGAGTTCTGTAGCTGTTGACGATTTTAACAATGACACCATACCAGATATTGCCGTCGTTAATTGGAATCATAACACAATAAGTGTACTTCTTGGATATGGTAATGGCTCTTTTGCAAATCAAACAACATATTTCACTGGCTCTGGTCCAAGGTTTATAGCCGTTGGTGATTTTAATAACGACTACCGACAGGATGTCGTCGTCACTAATTATGCTAGTAACACTGTAAGTCTACTTCTTGGATATGGCAATGGGTCTTTTGCAAATCAAATAACATATTTCACTGGTTCTGGCCCAAATCCTATAGCTGTTGGTGATTTTAACAAAGACACTCGACTAGATATCATTGTTGCCAATGATGGTGACAACACTGTAAGTGTGTTTCTCGGATATGGAAATGGTTCTTTCGCAAATCAAACAACTTATTCAACCGGTGATGGGCCAAGCTCTGTAGTTGTTGGCGATCTTAATAACGATACCCGACTGGATCTTGTCGTCACTAATGTTCGTAGTGACAGTGTAAGCGTACTTCTTGGATACGGCGATGGATCTTTTGAAAAACAAAAGATATATTCAAGTGGTAATGGACCAACCTCTGTAGCTGTTGACGATCTTAACAACGACACCCGACTGGATCTTGCTGTCACTAATGGTCGTAGTAATAGTCTAAGCGTATTTCTCGGATATGGCAATGGCTCTTTCGCAAATCAAACGACATATCCAATTGGCTCCTATCCACAATCTATAGCTATTGGTGACTTTAACAGCGATGCCAGACTGGATATCGTAGTCGTTGATTTGAATGACAACAATATTGGTGTACTTCTTGGATATCCCAATGATGCTTTCGTAAAGCAAATGAGGCTGATGACTGGCAATGGATCGCGACCTAAGTCATTGGCCGTTGGGGATCTTAACAATGATGGTGAAACAGACATTGTCGTCGCAAATTCAGGCGTTAACAATGTTGGAGTTTTTCTGGGATATGGCAATGGTTCTTTCTCTAATCAAAGAATATATTCAACTGATTCGTCTCCAAGTTCTATTGTTGTTGGGGATTTCAACAACGATAGTATACTTGATTTGGTCGTCGCTAATAATGGCAATGACAGCGTTGGTGTCTTTCTTGGATATGTTAATGGCACTTATTCAAACCAGAAAATATTTTCAACTGGTTATGGCTCTCAACCGAAGGCCATTGCCGTTGGTGATTTCAACAACGACACTGCACTAGATCTTATCGTCGCTAATTACGGAACAAACAACATAGGCGTGTTGCTTGGATATGGCAATGGGTCCTTCGCCGCTATAACGACTTTTTCGATCGACTATGGCTCTCTCCCATTCGCAGTTTGTGTTGGTGACTTTAACAATGATGGAAAACTGGATTTTCTGGTCGCCAATGAAGGTAGTGAGAATCTGAAAGTTTTATTACAGACTTGTTAATGTTGCAGCTAGTAGCTTGACTTTTATTTTCTTTTATTTTCTGTTTCTAACTTCTATCTAGTACTCTTTATATTTCTTGTAACCGTTTACCCATTTATCTCTTGATTTATATGCTCATATAAACTGGTTAGGAGAGTCTCTCTAAACCAATGTATTACACATTGCGACCTTACTCAAGAGTTTCACCAAATAGTTTTGACTACGCATTCACTCAAATAAATCAGAAAAAGATACATTAGGTGTGTGGGGGTGTGGATGTGTGGGATGTGGCTGTGGCTGTGGATGTAGGTGTCGGTGTGGGTGTGCGTATGGAAGTGAGTGTGAGTGAAGAGAATAATCGAAACCAACACACACAGTCATAACCACACTCACATCCACAACTACACTCACACCGCAATCTGCAACCAGACTTTACAGCCTCGGCGTAAGAGAGAAGAACGCGCAGAGTCACAGCTAACTCCTTAATATCCATTTGGCGGAGATAGTAAATATTGGACCATCCAATAAAAGGTAGCTGTATATGGTTCGTTTATCGACAGAGCATGTGCGTTAAAGAATTCACCCATTCGTTCTTATTGCTTTATAAATAAGAGATGCATTGCTTCGTCACTTTCATTATATTTGACGCTACCTTTCGTTATCTGAAGCACTATAAACATAAGATAGAGAGTAATAAACCTTCAGTAACCATTTATTACCGACGGAGAAACTTTTTTTAGGCTTTTGAGTGTAAACTACCCTATAAACATAATTGTTTATATAAACCCCGACGAATATTTGTGATCCACTGAAAATTCATATACTCTTGTACTGTTTTCTGTATTCATCAGTCCTCATTGAGAATACAACTGAAATAAACCCTTCAAACGAACAATGTATCCTTTCACGGTTTAAGCACAACGATAGAATAATAAACTGTTTGCCTGAAGGTTTATTCTGTTCATTTTCTAAATAAGGATTTATTAATACAGAAAACAGCTCAATAGTATATACATTTTCAATAGGTCACTATCCCTTGCCAAAGCGAATGGAAAACGAGCTTATGAACCAGTAGATTACGCGCATAGACCTTTCAAACTGAAATTTTGCCCATAGATAGGCCTTATAAGCACTAGAAACTCTCCTAAGTTTGAACCAGAATGAATGTATCTTTATCGAGATATTCGCTTTTTAAAGAAACGCCTGTTTTGAGCTTTGTTTCAAAATAAGGACATTTTCATGACCAGCTGATATCTCGATAAGGATGCGTTTGTTCTGGCTCAAACTTTGGGGAGTTTCTGATGCGGATGTGGGATATGGGTGTAGGTTCAAGTTCCGTTTTAAATCTAACATCCACACCCACACTCCATACACCATACCCGCACCCCATACTCCATACCCACACCCATACCCCACACCCACAC